AATCAGTATTATTAAAATATTTAACAATTTGTAAATAAGTTAATTTTTGATTTTTGATAATATTAAAGTAGGTAATAATTTGGGTAAGAAATTTAGTATTAATAATGTTTTTGGTTAATAAATTAATTAACTTCTTCTTGAAAAGAAACTATATATTATTGATTTTCTGTAGCAGTTTGGTAATATAGTGAGAGATAACAATAAAATAGTAGTTAGACTAAAACTCTGCAAAATCAAATTAAAATTTGAATTTAATCAACTATTTGAAATTATTTAATCAAATTAATTAAAAATTCAATTGAATAATTTCAAATATTTGATTCAAATTCAAAAATTGGTTTGATTTTATAAAGTACTAATTGTAACATTTAGGATTTGTTTTAACTTTGTTTTGTTTACAAACAAAATCTTCAGCTTAGTCTGTTAGTTTGTCAAAAGCTTTGGTAGAAATGGATTGGTTAAGTGAGGCAGCATGTTTCTTGTTTTTTGTGAAATAGTGTAGTGTTAAACATTCGATAGATCTATATTTCATCATCTTAGAGAGGGAATGTTAAGCAAGATTTGCTTAATGTTATTAAAAAGTTTAGTACTATTATGAAATTTTTTGTCATTAAGATATGAATACAATTTGTTGTTACAAGTAAAACAATAAAAGTTAGCAACATGGGATGCTTCTTCATGTTGTTTATGAAAAGAATTAGGTTTTTTAAAGATATAAGATTCAGGAAAATGTTTGAAAAGTTATAAGATAAAGTATTAATGAAATTGGATTCTAAGGAATACATAAATATTTTTTTTGTCAATACTAGAAGAGAATTATTAACTGTAAAGAGAAAAATAAGTTTTGAACCAAGACTTGAAATGATCAAATGAGTTTTTGAAAGAAAGAATACAAAATCTTTTAAGAAATAATGTTTTAGAAACATTAAAGAAAAGCTTGATATTGAATCTAGTATCTGACTGAATAGTAAGATATTTTTGATTAAGATTAGTAATTTGAGTAAAAAATTCAATTTTGAATCTTTTAGATCTAATCTATAAATTTTTAGCAAATTTTTGATAATTAATTGATTGGTAGTTATTGGATAAGAAAAGATAAAATCATACAATATTAAGACAGAATTAAAGGAGTTGTGAGCAGTATATGGAGAAATAGTAACTAGTGAGACAAAGATTTCAAGATAATTAAGTTTTGTAAAAAGGACAATTGTAAATTTAAGAAGTAGATTTTTGAGAATAAATTCAAAAAGGTTAAAAAAAATAGTAGCACTTTTGTCAATATTAGAATTGTTACTATAAATAAGGCTAGTTAAGAATTCTGGTTATTGCTTAGTTATAATTTAGATAATATAATAAAATGAGCTTTAAGTGCAAATTGAATAGAAGTAACAGGCTTGATTTTTTTAGCAAGATAAAAATCATAAAAAAATTTGTTAAGAAAAGTAAATAGTTGGAGAGAAAAAATAATTTGTAATTTTTTGTTAGATTGTATTTCTTCAGTAATCAGAAAATTTTTAAATCAGTTGTATATAAGATTAGATTTTGGTTTAGTAACACTAGAATAGGTTTGAAGAAAAGGTTTGTTAGAAATATTATCAGGTAAGTTAGTATTGTTAGAATTATTAAGATTTAAATTAGTATTATTAAGAATGTTAGTAATAAGAAGTTAGTTAGAAATAGGATTGGTATTGGTAGTTGTAGTAAAGAAAAAATTAATAAGATCAGAAAAAGTTAAAGTTTGGTAAGAAGAGGTAATAAAGAATTGATAGTTTGAAAAGATTTATATAGAATGTTTTGGAAGGTTTGGATAAGATTTTTCTTAGTTTAGAATAAGCTAGCTTCATGTTAAGATAAGACAGTCATATAGATGAGATGATAGACTTCATTATTTTTAGTAACATATTTTTTATTAAGATAGTAATAGTTATTTCTCTTGCTATAACCAATTGGAAGAGAACATTTAGAACAAGTATGATAATATATCTCAGGAATAGGAGATAAAGGAATATTGTTAATTAAAGAGAAGAGATTAGTTAGGAGTTATTGGGCTGGTTTGTTAAGATTCTTTTTGTATTACTATTAATATGGACTGTAGTGAATTCAATAACTTGAATATAGTTAGTATTAGTAGTTGAGATAAATTTGATGTAATATTTATCACAAAGACAAGTAATCACAGAAATAGAAATAGAAACTTAAGTAAATAATTTTGTTAATTCTGAGGTTTTTAGTTAGACAAGAAATTGGTTTAACTTTAGGAAGAATTGAATAAGCATTGTTATTATTTTCTTCTTCATAAAGAGTAATTTTAAAACTATTAGAAAAGTTTTGGTAGAAATAATTCAGGTCTGCAGTATCAGGCTCTTGGTTGCTTAATATGACATTTTTTAAATTTGTTATAAATTAAATAAATATTGTATTAAAAACTTAGAAAGATTTTTAATAGTTAGATAATTAATTTTATAAGAATAAGAGGTAGAAATAAGGGTTGTCTTATTGAGATATTATAGAAGTTATACTGGTATATAACTAAAATGATTGAGGTCACAAGTATGACTTGAGTATTGGTACAAATAAAGTTTACAATACAAATTGTTATATATAATTAATAAGAACCAAATATAGAAATAACTAATTATATTCAATAAATTTCTATTAATAGAAAAGTTACAGAATTTGGTATAAATTAATAAAATATATATTGGGAAATAATAGTATAATTATACAAAAATCATATAAGAGAAATAGAGAATAAAATAGAGATAAAAAATAAAAAAAAATTTATAAGAGAATAAAAGATGAATTTAGTTGTAGTTCTATCAAGATTGAGTCAAAATTCTTCTTTTAGAGCTTGTTTTGACTAAACAAGTATGCACTATAACTTTAATTAAGGGAATAAGATAAGTTATTGTAATAAAAACTGTAAAAGAATTAATTTTCTAAAATTGAAGTCCAAAGACTGTCAGTACAGTTTTCTTTATAAATTTAAGAACTAAATCTATAATATTTTCTAGTTATATGTAAATTGCTGAGCTGAACAAGTTTACTTAAGATGACAGGACAGGTTTTCATAGTAAAATAAATAGTTATAAATGTTTTTAGATAGATAATTGTTTTTGTTAATTTTTATACAATGAATTTTTTTAAAAAAGATTTTAAAATATAGAAAATTGATAAAGATCTTAATACATGATCAAATGAATATATATTTGAATAAAAGATATATTAAATCTGATTTGACTAAATTAATCAATTTTATATTATACATTATTAGAGTCCACTAGGTTGCTCAAGTTATTTAAAACAATTTAATGAATTTATAGATAAGTGACAAACCAAAATCTAATTTTATGTAAATCCAATTTATAATAATTTTTATTTATATAATATGCCTATTCTATATCTGAAACTCATTCAGAATTTTTTTTTATCTATTATTTGAATTTAAGTTCTTCTGCTCTGTTTCAAAATTAAATACAATAAGGTTTATAAGAAACAATTATTTATAATATATTATTTTAACAAAAAATTATATTTTTAGTGATAATCTTTATATATATTTTTATAATTCATAAAAAATTAAAACACTACCAATCAAATTGTAAAGTTCTTCATAATTATTACATGATTATATATTATAGATAATTTAAATAATTATTTCTTATTTTGAATTTATAAATGTTTTCTTATTTTATTAATACTTTAATATTTATAATTTTTTTTTCTTTCGACATACTATAACAGATTTAAATCTATTAATCTAATTACAAAAGTCCTTCATAATTATTATATAATTATATGTTATAAATAATTTTGAATAATTATTTCTTATTTTAAGTTTATAAATAGTTTTTTTATTTTATTAATACTCTAATATCTATGATTCTTTTTCTTTAATATACTAAAGTAAATTTAAATCTACTAATTCTATTATAAAGATTTTTTATAATTATCATATAATTATATATTATAGATAATATTAGATATAGATCAATTTTGAAAAGACTGAATAAGAACTAGTATTTTAAACTAGTCTTATTATTAATCAGTCTAGACCAATCCTTATAAATAATTAAAATAACTAATTAAAAATATAATATATAATCTTTTATTTTCAACTACTAATAACATATAATTTGAGACTGAAAACTATTAATAAACTGATCTTCTATATAACATAAGATTTAAATATTTTTAATTTTTCAAGATCAATTAAAAATCATAAAATGCAATATTTTTTTATTATGACTATATAACCACATTTATCAGATAATAAATCTGATAATATCTGATAATATATCTAGTATAAATCAAGAAAACAAAAGATACCCTACAAGATAAAATTGTAGATCATATAGATGATGTTACAAATATTCAAAATACACAATATACAATATTAATATGTATAGAATCAAAATTATAATGATATAAATACTATTATAATGATAGCAAATACTGATTTGTTGCTATGTACTATTCAAATGACTCTTAAAATCAATGACTGTCTTAATCATGTCTAATTTAATACAAAATATAAATATAATTGCATCATAATTTATATCACTGTAATTTTAAATAATCCATAAAAAACAATAGATAAAAATATAATATTAAAAAGAAAATGTAAATCTGATCATATAAATTTTATATAATAAAATTATATATAATTAACAATTAAATCAATTCTAAATATAATTTTAGTTTGATACAACCTTTTTGTCAATAAATTAAGGAGTAACAATTCAATATTATATAAACATTATATATAATTATATCTATTTACTCCTTAAATTAATTTATATGTATGTATATCAATCATATATTGTTTGTTACAAAATTTGGTATTCATTTTGAGGATACAATTTAGAATCAATTTAGGACCAATTCCGTAAATCCGCTGATATGCGTTAATATCATATACATAGCAATAGTAAAAAATGACGTTTTAAATTGGCCAGTTGGAATTTTTAATTCTGCTGATCGTCATCAACCAACTTCACCTATACTATTAATTCACCAATTTCTAGCCCTTTTAGGATTTCAAGGGCTTCTCCACTATGCCCAACATCTTTAAATGCATCAGTGGCATCCCGCCCTGCTTCATCAAGAAGGACGACTTCGCCGCCAGGATGCTAAAAACGGAGAATTATTATAATACAATATATTTAAATTTATGACGTGTTACTTCATAATTACTGGTGAAAAATACTTTGAACCTACCTCGTCAATGAACTTTGATATGTCATAGATTTTGCCTTTAATAGCAACGTACAACGAACCCTTTTTGTTGTGTTGAGAGAGTTCCTCAAAAGTGAATAGCTTTTTAGAAGACATTGTGGCAGATGCTTTAACAAATTCACCAATTTCTAGCCCTTTTAGGATTTCAAGGGCTTCTTCACTATGTCCAACATCTTCAAATGCATCAGTGGCATCCCGCCCTGCTTCATCAAGAAGGACTTCTTCGCCACCAGGGTGCTAAAAACAGAGAATTATTATAATACAATATATTTAAATTTACGACGCGTTACTTCATAATTACTGGTGAAAAAAGTTAAATATGCGTTTTTTTGGTTTAAATGCTTTGAACCTGCCTCGTCAATGAATTTTGATACGTCATAGACTTTGCCTTTAATAGCAACGTACAACGAACCCTTTTTGTCGTGTTGAGAGAGTTCCTCAAGAGTGAATAGCTTTTTAGAAGACATTGTGGCAGATACTTTAACAATGTGTTCGTAAAACAAGTGAATGGATTTATATGTATTATACGCAAGTATTGTATCGTCAGTGTCCAATAAGATTTATGCTGAAATCTTTTCATCAGTCGTACAATTCTATACTTTAAATACGTAGTTGTTAACTGCGAGGAAGTCGGATTGGTATCGTATACCAAATATAATCCCTGTTCACCTATACGTAGCTACCATTTTATCAATGGATTGTATCGGTGATTTGCCCATACGTAGAAACAGTAAAAAATATTCATCCACATGGTTCATGCCTGGATAAATTATACTCCTTAAGTAAAAAATCATTTGGTTGCCGTCATGATAATTAATGGATTATTGAAAGGTGAACATATTTTCACCTACGAAAAATTTATGAGTGGAAATTAATTTAACCGGCATATAATTGATAATTGATACCTTCGTTACGGAGTTTACAATTATGAAAAGATCGCCTTTACTATTATTAACACTTTATATGTACGTATACTGTCTGTTATATCATATGCCAAAAGCGATTTTGCATTAACTAGATTTAGGCTCGGGTGTTCAAGAATCGAGAATCGCACCAGTAGTACGTAGTAATATATGGCCGAAAATGACAAAAAAAGACCAATTTTTATATTATAAATCTTATAATAAATCATAAGAAAATAAAGAGCTATACTGCAAAATTTTATTAATACAACTACTTTCGTATCTTAAGTGAAAAATGATCTTAATTTAATTCTAAATTGATTTATGTAAATAAAAAACTCTTGAAAAAATTGTCATTTTCGGCCTTTTTCCCAGCACCTAGCCCATATATATCAATGCAGCTTTATAACCAACCAAATTATGTGTATGGACCGATTTAAGATTTAGGCCAAAAAAAATCAATTTTTTTTTTTAAAAAAAATAAAATTTCAGTCATCTTTTTCAGGAGAATGTCTTCCAATTAAGTGAGTTATAATGTGATATCGATATCAGGAAAGTCTGTAGATTTTAATATAATGGTTGCTATTCTTTGAAATACTACTCTAACTTGTCCAAAGTTTCAGGAAACTACGAGCAAAGAATTTTGTTTTATTGTTTACGATCCAGTTAATTGACTCAAATTAGCCTCTCATACGGATTATGACTTACAGATGCCTCTAAAAATTAACAGATATCTGCATTTAGTCCGAATTATATTATGTAGTCGGATTAAGGATCAAAGCATACTGGAGGGACCCCACAAACCTACAAGCCCATCATGACGGAAAATGAATTAAGTCTGTTGCTGACAAGTTACTTAAAGAACATGAAAAACAGATCAAGTCGAACGATTAATTGCCTATAAAAGTTGTAAATGTCATTGACTATGTTTATAAACTTCGGAAAAAGTCACTTGACTGATTTAAATGAAGTGGCCAAATATTATATATGACCAGACAAAACATCAATTGGTTTTTTTTGAATCAATTGTTGCATCTTTAAATGAAGAAGAAACAAAAATAACAGTTGGTTTACCAATATCACGTGATAGGGCATCAAAAATACGCATGCCTGAATTCTGTGCCAGGTTATGCATGTTGTCGATCGCATGCTGAATAAGCAAAATTCTTTAAAATTCATTGTTAGCATTTTGTATTAAGGTTAGAGGTTAGCGGGTATATAGTAAAATCGTTCAAGAAAAACTTTTAATTAAGGCTCGAAAGATGATTTCTTAAACAGATTTTTGATTTTTTGTCAAGACGAACGTTTGTTTTGAACTTTTCTGATCATGTAACGTTGCACCTGATCTTGAAATCTGATTGGTAGTTCGGCACGTGCCAAAAATACTTCAGCATCATAGGCTGATTGGCTAATAAATCCAATTTAATTTTGCATTATTTATACAGTTTAGAGTACTTTTTAAAAAAACGAAAACTAATCATAATGAAATAAAAAAAAAGCCGTATATAAGAGCTGTAGGACTCCATAGTCAAAAATAAGATCTAATTCTAGTCCGTTTAAAAAAATTAGCTTAGTATGTAATAAGTTGATTTTATCGGGTTTTGAGAAGTTATTAATGCTAACTTTTATAAACGGACGAGAATTAGATCTTATTTTTGGCTATGGAGTCCTACAGCTCTAATGAAACCTTCTATACGGCTTTTTTTTTTCTTTCATTATAATTAGGTTTCGGTTTTTTTAAAAAGTACTCTAAACTGTACAGTCAACTTTCTTTATAATTACATAGTTGGAATAATAGTATCTTTTTTTAGAAATGTGCTTATAAAGAGGTGCTTATATAAAGGTTTTTTTATATATTTTTATAGTAATTTTTTTAGCAAAATTAGGTGCCTATATAGAGGTGTAATTATATAAAGTGAGACTATAGAGAGGTCTAATTGTATAAATAATGTAAAATTAAATTGAATTTATTAACAATCAAATAAATTTCTGCTTATAAATCTCAATAAAGACTTAACTTCATGAAGTTAAGTCTTAATTTTGATTTAGTTCTGAATTTAACTTGGGATTAGACTTACTATATCATGTAAAACATTAGTAATACTAAATACAAATTAATGATTTTTTTGTTTTTTTTTATATTAAGATCAATTTTTATAATAGTTATTGTCTTTATTGTATATTTAATTATATATTACATAGATGTAGATTTTTCATAGCTTAGTGGTTAAGCTTTTATATCTTTACTACTAAGATTGATAGTTCAAGTTCAGTTAGAGACAAAATTCAAAAAAATTTTAGTTTTTGTAACCTAAAGAAATTAGTAATTAAACATAAAGTTCTGTAAACAAAGACCAAGTATAGTACATAATTCAAATAAAGAAAATCAATTTTGCAAAATGTAGGCACTATGTATAACAGTAGTAGCATAAAAAGTTTATTATACAAAAAGTTATATAAGTAAGTTCTTATAAAAACAAAGCAGTATCAATATGTCTGTTGAATTATGAATTACTTAATTAGAATAATAATATCAAAAGATAATACAAACTAAAGTAATAAAAGAAACAGTAAATACAAAAAAGATTTGTAATAAAAAATTGACTATTTTTAAATTAAAAACATTTTTAATATTATGGAATGTCTAAAAATAAAGGTAACTATAAAAATAAAGACGTAACCTATTTTGTACATCTAAAGATACTAAGTTGGAGTTCTGATTATATATATAGAAGTTTATAATAAAATAAAAAAAATATACTAATATAAATATTATATTAATTAAAGTTAAGATATCTAAATTAGAAATAATACAAATACTTTTAGTAATTCTTTCTGCCAATCACAAAAACACAAACTTACAAAAAAGAAAATAAAATTTTATAAAGAAAAATAAAAAACATAATAAGTAGAAAGAAGACAAACTTAACAAAACAAAAATTAAAAAGAAAATTTTAAAGAAACAATATTAATCTGAAACTGCAGATCATTTTGAAACACATGAGTATATAAGAAAACAAATAAATAAATATATACAAAAATAGACAGAATAAACATATAAGTATTACAAAGTGTATATAATAGAAATAATTTAAAAATAATTGCATAAGCACAGTCAAATATCAATACAAAAGAGTCTATAACACTAAAGTTAATAAGTAAAAGAGCAGAGGCAATATTAAAACTTATAGATAATAAAGAGTTAAAGCAAGAATTAGCAAATAAAAATAACTACTTTAATGTAAAAGATATAGTTGTAGTAATATTATAGAAAATAGACTTAATAAAGATGATAATACTAAAAAAAATATATGAAGTAATAATTAAAGTAAACATAAAAGACCCAACTAGTATAAAAAAATAAACAAAAGAGATAAATTATATAAGTTAACATTCAATAATAGTAGAAAGCATAAGCAATAAGAAAAATTAAATGATGTCAAAAAAAGAACTAATTACATCAAAAATGTATATAAAGAAAATAAAACAAATAACAAAAGTAATAGATATAATAATAAATAAAAAAAAATTTTAATAGAGCATAAGTAAAGAAGAAAAAGAATAACAAAAAAGAAAAAAAAAAAAAAAAGATACAAAAGGCACAAGTGCAATAGCAAAAATAGCAATAATAGACAAATATGTAGAAGAAAAAATTAAAATATTAAAGATAAATATAATATAACAAGATTGTCAAGACATAATAGCAGCAATTAGAAATTAAAAAAAAAAAAAAAAAAAAATAGAATCATGAAATAAAGAAAAACAGCTTTATAAAAGCATTATTAGAACAAAGTATATGATCATTCTCAAACAAAGATTGTAACAAAAAAATAATATATACAACAAAAATACTAGCATATAGGTATTCTAACCCAATTATTAGTAACAGTTATCATAATATAAATATTATATAGGTGATTATTTAAATTTTTGTTGTTGATAGGATTTAAACACCTAACCTGCCATTTGAAAGATTGACAATCTAATTACTTCACTAGGTTGCCATACCTTATATCTGAGTTTTATGTTTTAATATAGATATATAAAGTAATAAATAATATATAATATAAAAAATTATACAAACTATAACAATATATACTAATAAAAAATACTTATTATATTAACTTTTTCTGATAATAAACAACTCTTTTTACTAATCTTTATGATTAAAATTAAAAGAAAAAACTTGTAAAAAATACAAAAACTATTAAGTCAGAATACAGTAGTTAATTAGAAAAAAAAAACTAGTAGAAAATTAAATATAAATTGTTAGTATAGTAAACCAGATTAATAGCAATATAGCAGTTTTCTTTTTAACTTTTTGAAAAAATTTTGTTATTAGAAATTTTTTAATAAAAAAAAAAAAATATAGAAAACTTTGTATTATAAATCATACACATAATATATAAAATAAGACAAAGTAAACAGTAAACACAATAATAAACAAATAAACAGATACATAATTTTGCAAATAAATAAATAATACAGATATAAAAGATCAATTATATATTGAGTATATTTAGTAAAGATATAAAAAGAATGCAAAGAAATGTTATATAGAAGTT